CTGTTCCCCAAACCACTGTGTCCAGCCTTACATGGCCACACAATCTAGGTTTAGTGTTTTGAGGACTGCTTCTGCTTTCTGTCTAAAATAACATGGATTTTACCTTAATTTTATAAGCAGTTTTTACAATGTTTGGAAGTTTACTTCTTTTTTAGAGCTTATTATATATGCCACATGCATTATCCTCACTTTCCTTTACTATCTGACTTGAATTAATAATACATTGTTTACATACATGTTTGATGCTCATCTTGCAGCATATTATATTTCTTATCTCTGTTTTCAATCAATGCAGCACTATTAAAACCATATTTGTGGAGACAACAGAGCAATATCCAAATGAGACATTTGGAATCTTTAATGAAGAAAAAAAATTCAATTTATCTCTGCAGAAACACTTATGTCAGTGGATTTATTAACATACAGAATCATAGAACTGGGAGGGACCTCGAGATGTCATCCAGTCCAGTCCACTGCACTCAAGGCAGGACTAAATTATCTAGACCATCCCGGACAAGTGTTTGTCCGACCTGCTCTTAAAAATCCCCAATGATGGAGATTCCACATCCTCCCTAGGCAATTTATTCATGTGCTTAACCACTTTGAAAGTTAGGAAGTTTTTCCTAATGTCCAACCTAAACTTCCCTTGCTGCAATTTAAGCCCATTGCTTCTTGTCCTATCCTCAGGGGTTAAGAAGAACAATTTTTCTCCCACCTCCACATAACAACCTTTTATGTACTTGAAAACTGTTGTCCCCTCAGTCTTCTCTTTTCCAGATTAAACGAACCTAATTTTTTCAATCTTCCCTCATAGGTCATGTTTTCTAGACCTTTAATCAGTTTTGTTGCTCTCCTCTGAACTTTCTCCAATTTGTCCATATCTTTCCTGAAATGTAGTGCCCAGAACTGGACACAATACTCTAGCAGAGTAGAGTGGAAGAATTACTTCTCATCTTGCTTACAACACTCCTGCTAATACATCCCAGAATGATGTTTGCTTTTTTTGCAGCAGCGTTACACTGTTGACTCATATGTAGCTTGTGATCCACTATAACCCCTTTCCGCAGTACTCCTTCCTAGGCAGTCATTTCCCATTTTGTATGTGTGCAACTGATTGTTCCTTCCTAAGTGGAGTACTTTGCATTTGTCCTTATTGAATTACATCCTATTTACTTCAGACCATTTCTCCAGTTTGTCCAGATCATTTTGAATTTTAATCCTATCCTCCAAAACACTTGCAACCCCTCCCAGCTTGGTATCGTCTGCAGACTTTATAAGTGTACTCTCTATGCCATTATCTAAATCATTGATGAAGATATTGAACAGAACCGGACCCAGAATCGGACCCTGTGGGACCCCACTCATTATGCCCTTCCAGCATGATTGTGAACCGCTATGGATTACTCTATGGGAATGATTTTCCAACCAGTTGTGCACCCACCTTATAGTAGTTCCATCTAGGTTGTATTTCCCTAGTTTGTTTATGAGAAGGTCATGTGAGGCAGTATCAAAAGTCTTACTAAATCAAGATATACCACATCTACCACTTCCCCCCCATCCACAAGGCTTGTTACCCTGTCAAAAATACATAGATATAAACAATTTTCTGCATGTCAAAGAAAAATCAAAAGATTTAGATATAGAACTACAAGTACCAAGGAATAAAATAATAATTTCATTTCCATGTTTCCTTAGTCTTTCTACCAAAACAACTATTGCATCGAAATATATATAAATTTAGGCCTCAAATCTCAAAACATAACTAGTGATGTTGGGAGTCTCCATTTTTCAGTGCCCAACTTGAGGCATCTTAGAGGGGGTCTAATTTCAGAAAGTGCTGAGCACCTATTCTCAAATATCAGGCCCTTTAAATTATCTCAATTTGGGTACCCAAAAATGAAGGCATTCAAATTCACTAGTCCCCTTTCAACATTTAGGCCTTAACAGTTTCAAAATTTCAGTACTAATTTTTATCTTGTTCCATAGTGCACAGAGCAAATAAATAAGTACAGAAACTTATCATTCTTTTTCCATATCCAGAGAGGGGAACCAACATTTCTCTTGAAGGAGACAATTTAGAATGTATATCTAAAAAACCCTAAAAATTATAAGAACGGACATATTGGATTAGACCAATGGTCCATCTAGCCCAGTATCCTGTCCACTGCAGGATGTTACAAAGGGAATGACAACAACAGGGCAATTATCAAGTCTCCTGTCATCTAGCCCCAGTTTCTGGCAGTTAGAGATTTAGTGAAACCCAGAGTATGGAGTTGCATCCCTGACCATCTTGGCTAATAGGCATTGATAGACCCATCCTCCATGAGCTTATCTAATTCTTTTTTTGAACCCATTTATACAGTAACTCCTTACTTAAAGTCGTCCCTCTTAATGTTGTTATGTTGCTGATCAATTAGGGAGTATACTCATTTAAAGTTGTGCAATGCTCCACTCTTATGTTGTTTGGCTGCCTGCTTTCTCCACAGCTGGCGGCCTCCCTATGGCCCCCTCCCCTCCCAGCACCTCCCGCCCACTGGCAGACTCTGAGGATCAGCGCCTTCCCCCTCCTCCCACTGCCTCCTGCCGGCGGCAGTCAGCTGGCTTGCGGCATTTTGGAGGTAGGAGGGAGGAGCAAGGACTTGGCGCACAGGCTCCCCCTCCCTCCCCTGCCTCCCAAATGCCACAAGCCAGCTGATTGCGCCGGGCAGGAGGGAGATGATAGGAGCAAGGACTCGCGTACCTCCCCCCTCCCTCCCCTGCCTCCTGAACGCCGCAGGATTGCCGCCAGCAGGAGGCAGCGGGAGCTGGTTTTCTTCATAATCCGCTGTGGGCATCACACTAATTGCCTCTTCCTCCTTGGGGATCTAGGAAGGAATTTTTTCCTCACTGATAGATTGGCCAAGGCAAAGTAGGTATTTTTGCCTTTCCCACAGCAATTTTAGGACTTGGTGGGGCAGAACAAGGGGTTAGGTTATAATGTTGCAACTTAGTATGTAAAACTTGTGCCAGATCAGGATATCCAGTGCAGGTACTCCAGTACTAATTATGGAAGAGATACAGTTATCAGATAAATCCTTTTCCAATCTATTTTAAAGGAAAGCATCTCTTAAGGGAGCTGAAGAAGGGGCAGGGGGAGGTTCAGGGCTCTTACACCCAGTAGAGTGGGTAGCCGACCCAACCCCTCCTTCTCTAGTCCTCATAATCCTCATACGAGGGGAGGGTAGTGGGGTCCTGGCAGCAAGATGACTGAGGCCAGGGAAGGCTGACAGCAGCCCTTCCAGTGCTGTGAAATGATGTGAAATGACAGTAACCTGCACTATACAATTTATTGCCAGGTACTCCAGATATTTTAAGTGACTAAAGTTGTGGCCTAATTAAATCACATCCATTGCCTCTTCTGGCATGGCTGGAAATTGAGGTAGGTGATGTGTACATACACAAACTGCTACTAAGTACACAGAGAGGGGATGGAATGGAAAACTACATTGATCACTTGGATGATTAGTTGACTACAAATTAATAGCAAATTATCACATTCCTGTGGTGTCAGTCCTTTACATTTGCTTTTAAGGGTGTGAACCTGCAACCTTTACTCACATAGTGGGACTAAGATAGTATTACTTGTATGAGTAAGGGTTGTGAGATTGGACGCTGAGAGCAAAACATGACCTCTGTTTGTAAAGTCCTATTATTATTTTGTCTTCCCATTCTTTAACTAATTCAACATTCTCATTGTCCATTATTCTTCGTCTTTCTTACTCTCTTTCTATTTTCCAGTACATGGAAATCTCAGTATCTCTAATAACTTCACTTCTCCTTGTCACAGTCCCCACCAGCCTATACTGTCTAGACAATGCCCAACAGCTTTACCGCCAGACCAAAATGAAAAATCTGTTAGTCCCCCCTGCTCAACTCCCACCCCTCAAAAATAGGGTAGGGGGGAAGCCAACAAAATTTGACTGGTAGTAAAACACTTGGACATTTTAAAAGCTCACTCTCTCTCCCAATCTTTTAAGAAGACTTAAAAAAAAATTGCATCTCAGTGTTGTTTGCTTATTTGTTTTTTAGGTGATTTACATTTCAAATTTGAGCAAACAGAAGTTGCTCAAAAGAATTCTAAGAGTAGAATTTTCAAAAGCACTCTGCATTGGCCTAACTCTGCTCTCATTGAAGTCAATGGTAAAGCTACCATTAGTCTAACCAGTCATGAGCACTTTTAAATCTTTTAGGGGCAGATCCTCCGCTGATTTCAAAGGAGCTATGACAATTTACATCTGCTCCTAGGCTAAGGTTGTCTGAAGTAAATGTGACTGAAAGGAAATCAACTTTTTCCACATTGCTTTTCCTCCCATTTCAGTTTTATACCAGTATAACTATTGACTTCAAAAGCTACTCCAAATTTTTCCTGGTATGGGAGGAGAATCTGGACAATGTTTCTGAAGCAAAGAGAGTTTTGATCTTGCACTAAGATCTATGTATTTAATATAGTCCTATTCACATTTCCACATTATTTCTTCTTTCCACATTAGCAGAAATATCTTTTTCTTCATCGCATTCGAGAGTCGGAATGTGGGGGAACAGTCCACACAAATCTTTCTTTGAGCACTGCATATGGTTTATGTATCACCATATGTGGAACAACCCCCCCAAAAAATATTTCATGTATTGTAAGAATGAAGGAAGTCTGTTTCAAAATGTTCTCTGGAAAAACTTGTAGAAAACTACCTAAACAATCAAGTACAGGGAATGCTTAAAATTTAGCAGTTTAATTGAATGAACAAATTATTATGAATTAAGCAAAAACGGATGCCTCTATTTGGTTTGTTCTGATAGAAATCGACAGAATTTAAATCCACATGTAGCTGAGTTTTGCCTAGTGCCCTGTTAGGGCCCACTGATATAAACCATGACTTGAATTTTCAGACAGACATATTAATCACCAGGCAGATGTTTGCTGCCTGCAAGGTCACCAGCTCAGGAAAGAAGAGGGGCAAAACAAAAGAGAGGAGGTAACCAAGCCTGACAATATCTCTGTTAGGGCTGCATGACACTTTGAACATAATCTAATAATGACAGTATTGATTTTGGAGGCAAAGTAGTGATTGAAGGGAAATCTTTATTTAGAAGTCAATAGTGAGGGAGAATGACTCCCATACCAACCCAAGAAAAATGCAGACACTTCTTCTAGGTAAGAGTTTTCTCAATGCACTTAATATGTTCTTCCTATTTCATGACCAAGAAAATGTTTGCAGTGTTTTAACCTTGGCCTTATTCTGTTTTTACTGCTAAAAGGGAGAGAAGTTACATTATTAATGTTCTCCTTCTCTTAAAAAGAAAAATGTAGTAGTCAGAAAACCATTTATTATTAACAAAGTATGATATAAAGTGAAAGAAAGACCCAAGCTGAATACGTTGTTCTCACATGAAAAATGAAAGGGAACTAGTTAATTTATTTATAAGGATTAGCATGTAGAAATAATCATGCAGAACTAGAGGAAAGTATGTGAATAAATCAGGCTGGGTCTAATATAACAATTACACCTTTGTACCCATTTCCCTTGGTACAGAGTAAAAGTGCAGTCAAAACTAAGTTTCAGTTTCTTTAAAAGTAATCAGCCTAGTAACAATTGTTAAAATATGAAAGTTTTTTTTCATTTTGTGCCAGTTTAATTTGAAACAAATAAGCAGAAGTAAATTTGGCTGAAGTTTACATAAATTCTTTGCATTATATTTTATGGTCTTTCTATATATTATATATACAGCCATGATACTAATTCTGAAAGAAAAAAAATACACAAAAGAATAGAAAATAGATGGATTTTTTGGCTTATTGTGTACATGAGTAATTCAACACCGTCTGCTATTTTACATCTTTATTTTCCAAGTTCTTTCCCTCTCTCTAGATATATTTAATATGGGTGTCAAAAGTACAGCCTATGAGCCTGTAGAACAGTTTCACCTGACCCACAGATTTCCCATTAATTGTCAGGCTTGTCTACCCGACTCTGGAGTTTGCACCATGGGATGTGATTTGTAGAATGTACCAGTGTGTTGTGCTCTAACTCCTCCATATAGATTCTGCTAATGTGAACGGATGTAGTCGTGTTTGAATAGGACTTGATTTTTCAGTGTTTTTAACATTATACAGCACTTTATATGTTCAAATCAGAGCTTCTATTGACTTCAGTTGCAACTGTGAGTACTCAGCACTTCTGCAAATCATACTTATTGACCTATGGGTCAAATTGACTGGCTACTCTAAGGTTTCTTTAATTACTAAGTAAGTTCAAACCTTACTAAAATTCATAACAGACTCCAAGGTCTCAAATCAGGCACCCAGAACATGAGGGACACGCAATTAGTGTCCAACTGGGAAAATTTTGATTTAAGTAATTTGCCTAGCAATATGTGGAAACTCTTCGGCAAAGGAACTAGAATCCAACAAATGAGATAGAGGTCTTACAGACAATAGCCTCCTTCACTACCTTTGAACAGAATGAGGCTGGGGTCCCATGGAAAAAGTAGAATGTGTTCATGTAATTAAGGACTGTACCATAATACATATACACAAAGAGCTGATTTAGGTTGCACAGGCAACCTTAATTCTGGCATTTCCTATCTTTTGAGTACTTGATTTAGCAACTTTATCATTTTAATGCTATGTTTTTTAAAAAGCCAACTGAAAAAAAAAGAAATAGAAACTCCATTGTGTGGCATCATATTGACACCCACATCGTTCTGCAGCAGGGTCATAACCTTTAGATCCACAGAATAGACCTTTCGCCCAATGGAGTAATGGATGTAGATTACACCAAATGAAACAGACACCATGGAGCATTTCCACTGCCATTCCCCAAGATCTGATCCCCAGCAGATCAGTTACTTGGGCTGCACTGTGGGATTGGAATTTGCTCCTTAGAGAATATGGCAGAATTGAAGAAATACAAGTCTACATATTGTTATTATAATGTTGTAATAATAATTTGGTTTTAATCAATCCTATTTGCTTCATCTATCCTCCAAAAGTTTAGTTATTAACCTTATCCAGACAGTAAGTCCTTCCACGTTGCTTTATTCTTATATGTTTGTTAACCACATTCCAACAGTGCATATTTGTTTTTGCAACCATAGCAATGAAATATATTTATTGGCCATGGTAACAAGGATTCTAAACAAATATCTGTCTTTATTTAATTTTCAACAAAATTAGAGCATTTCCCTAACACTATAGTAATAGGGATTTAGAGAATATGACTGTAAAATATTTTATTTAAATTTTCTGACCACAGATTAGAAGTCTTTCAAATGTGACATCTTCAGAACATATGAAGATACCTGATGGTAGTTTTGCCAATATTTGGTTGTGTGTCTTTTTGATTGGTTTTGGGATAAAAACCAGTTTACAAAAAACAATCATAAGTAGGTGCCATATTGTATCCGTGGGGGGGAATCTTGTACTATTTGTGTATAGCAGTTTGAATTCATGAGGAAAAACACAGAAATTTGGTTACCATGTAGTGCTCTGCAATGGATTAATTTACTGTGAACTGTTTCCCATTCATATTCACAAAAATATAATGTCTTTGCTGTAGTAAAATACAAGAGACTTTTTTTTTACTGACTTTCCAACTCTGAACAGTTTAGATCAATTTTAATAGAAGTTATCAGAAAACCTTTTTTTCCCATTTTTGTTTATTGTTCATTTTGGTTTGAGTTGTTTTTCAATCATTTTAAAATACTAATACATGAGGATATTAACTGGCTATTGCTGGTTGGGGTTTTTTGTTTTGTTTGACAAGCTCATAGGGCATGATCCAAAGCCTGCCAAACTCAAGGGGAGTCTATTCACTGATTTACTAGATCAGGCCAATAACAAAGGGTAAGTACCAGACTACTGAATGTGAGACTGTCATAACTATAAAGGGAAGGGTAACAGCTGTCCTGTGTACAGTACTATAAAACCCCTCCTGGCCAGAGACTCCAAAATTCTTTTCCCTGTGAA